ACTGGGTTCGTAAACAAAAGATGACAAAGGGAGCTTGAGTTATGAAGAATTTAGGGGGAAAGAGCTGATTTCAACTATCAGAAAAGTGAAAACAGCAGTAGCTTAATCCTAGTACTTTACACGTAGGCAAATAATAGACATTTTTATTACACCACAACTGAGGGAGATGCATTTTGACTATACAAGATATTAAAACGTATTCCCCAGGAGTTTATTGGCGTAAATTATATTTAGAGAAAGGGTTTGGTTTTTTTTCCCATGGAAGATGCACAGGAAACTTGTTGGCTGTGGTGGAGGCCTGGGTAAAAGTCAAGATAGAGGAATGACAAAAGTATCATAAAATAATATTAAGTAAAAAATACATCTGTATATAAAGTTGTATTGTATGGTGTTATCCTGATTTTACACACACACACCCCACACACACAGAGCAGAAAAAATTTCAGTTCCACAAACACAGTTAAACAAAAACATGGCTTCTTTACCTCTCTGTAAGACAGTTTAATTTTTCTTTTATACTCTATTCTATACCAGCTGTCAGAGTTGTTATTTAAGTCTCTCTTAGGATTACTTTCTCCCTTCCTGAGAATTGTTCATTTGTTTTTTTCCTGGTGGCAAAGTGTAGGGGAGAGACAGGGAGAGTTAATTACAAATGGATTTCTGTTGCCTACTTTTAAAATTGTTTAAAGACTTTCTTTATGGCCTGGTACAATCGTATTTCATATGTGCTTGACTAGAATGTGAAATGTTTAATGTTCAGAATTTATGTATATTAGATAAAACTTGTTTGTTAAGCTTATTAATTGTGTTGGTTAAATTTTCTAAATCTTTACTGCTTTTTTTTACCTTGTTCATTTAGTGTTTGACAGTTACACTGAAATCTCCTACCATAAAATTGTCAGGTTTTTCCTTGTATATCTCAAATTTATATATACATAAGGAGAATATAGAAGTGTCATAAATTGAATTGAAGACAGCAGAAACAAGACAAAACACATTAATTATCCACATATATGTAAAGGGCCTAACTGGTTAAGCAAGACCTTTAGCCAAATTGAATTTAAGAAATCTTTCAATATACTTATTTACATACACACACATATATAATGTATATTTTATATAGAAGTGTTTATGTACAGATACATATATATATATAAATATATGTGTTTATGAGTGTGTATATGAAAAGAAATATACTACATAATGCTATAAATATAATTTTGTATTATAACATATAAGTTACATTATAAAATATAATATATAACATATATAACATTCTGAAAGAATATCAAGTAATAAAAATAATGCATATTTACTATTTGTTGGTAAATACGCAAACTGTTTTATCTCCCTTGGAGTTGAACTTATTGTCATTGTGTTGTGCTCTGATACTTTTTGTCTTCAGGTCTACTTAAAGCTGCACTAATATAAATAAAGTGGTTACTTTTACTTACTTTTTGCATGATAAAATATTTTTCTTTCATATTTCCACATTTAAGTGATCTTTTGTTAACAATATATTGGCAGATTTCTTAAATCCAGTTTGGCTAAAGTTGTCGCTTAACTGGTTAGGTCTTTTATGTATATGCCAGTAATTAATGTTTCTTGTTTCTGCTATCTTCTTTTCAATTTATGACACTTCCATATTCTCGTTTCTCGTATATCTTTCTACTTATACTCTATCGCACCCTTTAAGACAAATACATTGGTGAACTGTCATGTTCTGTTTCTTCCCTCCCTCTTCCATGTTGATGTACTTCCTGGTTCTCTTCTCTTCAATCAGGCTTTGTTTATTTTTAAGACATGGGGACACCTAATCAAGTTAGGTTTTCACTCTTACTTACTTTTGGCTTGCAGTGTTTCTTGACTTTGTGTTATTTTCTTCTTGAATATTACTTCCAGTAGATGTGTCTGTGTGGGTCTTTGTCTTGCAAAACTACTGAGGCCTTGAATATCAGGGAATAGTTTTTGAGGCCCTCATATTTAAATAGTATTTTGGCTAGATTAAAAAGTCTACTTTCAAAATTATTTTTTCCCTCAAGATAGGTTGGTAGTATCTCTTCTGATAGCCTTGGGCTAGATCTGTTTTGAAATTCAGAATCTGAAGGCTTCAGAAAGGCCTTAATATATCTACTTAAAATACTATGTTACTAGAAGCCCTGGTAGGATCTGGATCATTACTCTAAAATCAAATGCACTAAAATTTCGGTAACAAAATATATCAATGTTCAAATTTAAGTAGAATGAATGAAGATTATGCATAGCCTCTTACCACCTGACATCTGGTTTTATTTTGCAAATAAATTGTGTTGTCACACTAACAAAACAGTCATAAAAATTTTATTTAAAAAATTTTGAGTTTTGAAATAGATATGGAATTTTGGACGAGTAGTATAGAGAAAATACTCCATTGTCCTGCTGTAGGCAGTTTTGCTGTTGAGAATTAGTTTCAATTTGATCCCTGAATCTTTATAGGTGATCTGTTCTTTATTTCTGGAAGCTTTCAGAGTTTTCACTTTGTTTTTAATATTCTTCAGTCTCACTATAATGTGTCTTTGTTTGGATTCGTTCTTCACTCTATGGGCCTGACCAACCTGAGGACACTCAAATTCTCTCAAGAACGTGAGGAACAATTCACAGGCCCAGGAACTTGAACATCCCAATTATATAAAAAGTACACAACACATAGTCCCTAAACTAAAAGAAACATGAAATTAAACAGAAAATTGGGATCGATATCATGCACTGAGTCCCATCAAGGAAGTGCAGAAGGTGCTAAGAAGCCCAGAGGAGTGAAACTCAGCTTAAAATGGGGACTCTGGTAGGTTTCAGAAGACAAAGCCTCAGTTGAGTATCGAAGGTTGTAAGAACGTAGCCAGAGGAAGAAAGGTGGGAAAGGCTTTCTAGGCAGTAAGAAGGGAATTAGCAAAGTCATGAAACATGAAAAGGCAAGGTGTGTTGTATATTTCTGGAGCATAAGACATAAGAAATGCAAAAGTAGCTAAAGTAAAAAAGATACAGATTTTTCAGGGCCTTCCAAGCCGGGCTAAGGAGCAAGACATTTTTCAAAAAGAAAATGAGGAATTATTGAAGGATTTGAAGTGAGATAGAATTGTGGCCTTATAAAGAGATATCTGGCTCTATGCAAAGAACTGATTAGAAAAGTATAGCCTGGAAGGAGAAAAATCAAGCAACTCTAGAAACAATTCCGGTCAGTAAATACTATGATCCTACAGTAGGGAGCTGGTAGAAATCCAAGAAGGAGATGGTTATATGAGCACTTAGGACACACAGAACATGGTCGAAGCCCCAGGGAGGGATGATGCTAATTAGAGGTGACTAAGGAAGAGCCAAGGGGACTAGAGCAGGTACCCAGTATTGAACTGTAGTGCTGTGGTAGGATATTCACATATGGCAAGAGGCTTCAGCCCATTTTCCATTCTACACAAATGTCACTTCAGTCATAGTGAGTGTAGGAAGAGTCAGGAACCAAGAGGCAGACATTCAGGGATAGACTAGCCCCATAAAAGGATGGAAGGAGGAACCAGGGACTTTGACACTATACAGTCTAGACTCTACACAATTGCCTGTTTCCAGGCATTCTTATACCACATGCACACCCTACCCAACTCAACTATCATCATTTAAAGGGAAGAATTTCTTAGAAATTCCAAATTCAGCAGTTCTCAACTCATTTTCTATGATGACATCTGGTAATTAAATCCCTCTTTGTAACACGCACCCATGGACAACACCTTCACAGGGACGACTCACTCACATAGACATTGACAGTCTTTTAAATTGTCTGTATAAATGTGTTACACTGGGTGTTATTTTTCTCTTGTAGGTCATCCATAACGTGAGAGATGGAGAAAGAAATCAAGACAATTGTTCTGCTGAAAGGATTACAGCCCATCACTGAATATCAATTTAGCATGGTGAAGTTTTTATTGGCCAATGATTTAAAACTGACTGAAACAAATGAAAAAGAATATAATAGAATTCATATTTCTAAGTTAATTGTAGAAAAGTTCCGAGGAACCACAGCTATTGACAAACTAATAAAATTGTACAAAAAAATAGAAGATCTTAAAGACTGTGCTGAAACCCTTCAAAAGGAAAAGTTAAAAGGTAATGCATGAGAATCTCTCACCCTCACTCTCTCTGCACCATCCTCAACCTTGACTAGAAGCCTAACTTGTCATAGCTCACACATCCCTTTCCCAATTTAGGACTCAGTAGCCATGGCAATATTAGTCCTGCAGAGGCCAAGTTGACAACTCAGGGCATCCCCTTTCCTACAAAGAGGTCTAATGTATTTCAGAGGGTATATTTTGGGAGTGAGGGTAAAGAAAAAAAGCAGGAGCTGATGAGAAAGGCTGAGGCTTCAAGTACTTTAGAAAGTTTAGAAAATGTCAAAGCAAAGTTTTAAAAAATGTGAGTTTTAAAAATATTTATATCAATTAATACACATGCTCTATCATAATATTCACTACACCATTGTTAGTAACAAATACGAAGTAGTACTTAACTAAAAACCTACCTCTCAGAGATGTGAAGACCTTGTCTCTTATAAAACCATTGGATTATAACAATGTATTTTAAAAAGTCCAAGTCCAGCATCACCACTTTGTCACCTCACTAATTACATCATATTTCCTTTCTCTGGTTTCAGTAATTCAAACTGATCTTTTACAGAAGATGACATACCATAACCAGTATGACAACTTCAGATTCATAAAAGGAAGTATAGGATAAGTGGTTGGAAAAGGATTGACTAAGGTGCATAGGAGTCCGGAGGACAGGACGGGTGTGCTCATTGCACATGAGATGAGAAAGGAAACCGTTGAGGAAGCATGAGACAGTGCTCATCTCTGTGTTATTTCTACTGGTCACCTGTGGCCAGCCTGGTTAATGCAGTAGAGGCAGACACAAGCATACCTAGACCCACAAGCAGGAGCTGAGAGGAAATAGTATTGAAAGGGCTTCAGCTGTCTTAGACCAGCTCCTTTGGATTTATCATTCTATCTTTTACTTCATCAGTTCTAAAGAGATGGAAAGCGAGAGGAACAACTCCAGTGAAACAAAGCAAGCAGGATAAACCCAGTACTGATGAATCTACATCCACCACAAAGAAAGCTTTGGGACCTGGATCAATCAACGATAAGCCTGTGTTGAAGGTAGGATGGCTAAGGTCACGCTGAAGAAGCTTCTTCTATGGCTCTTCCGTTTAGCACTTCCTATGTACACTTAGTTCTTTATTCCTTTATCAACATGCAAATAGATGTAGCAGAGAAAAAGGGATTCAGAGACAGAGTGAAAATGAGGTTCACAGCCTGTAAATTAATAGTTATTGGTCACCCATTATGTTTCAGAACTGCTCTGCATTTTACTGTATGTAATATAATTCCCTATGATGAAATATGAAATCATTACCCCTCTTTTAGATATGAAGTATAATGGCAATCAGATTAGGGAAATAGCTTGCCAAAGGCTACTCAGAGAGACTAAATTCAAAGTTAGATTTCTAAATCCAAGTTCACTGCTCCTGTCATCAGGGCAGAGGTGACTAAAGGAGCGACAGGTATAAAATCTTCCCCACTATCTGCATGAAGCAATCATATATGTGCACTGTTTACCTTCTGGCTATGTCTTCTGATGATAGACTGTATATAGCTCCCTGGAATTCTCAAAGACATAAATTTTAATATATTAGAAGATAGTAATGAAAAGCTGATATGTTTAGTGGTAAAGATGTGTTTCATCTAATATTGAAAACCGTTAATCAGAAAAAAAAACTACTTTCAGAGAAAGAAAAACAAAACCACAAAAACTGATGAATCTAAGACAGAGCTGACCCAGGAACAGAGTCAGCTTTCAGAACCTTCAGGAACCAGCAGACAATCAACCAAGAGCCTTCCCCAGACTCCTCAGATGCCTACACCAATCCCATCCAGCAGTTCCTCAACCAAGGTACCAGCTTCCTGTTCCCATTCCTTGTACCTCCATACAATGTAAGTACAAGGATCATCATAATCTTGGAAGAGCCTCCCATTGAACCTCCCACAATATACAACTTAGTTATTTAATATAATCACTCATTCATTTGTCAAGGTATAATTTGAGATCCTACTAGATTCTAATTCCTTTGCTATTTACAAGGCAGGTGTTTATGAAATAATCTTTGATGTTAAGAGGGCTACTCTCTTGGGTTGCGTAGAGAGAGAGGGGGAAGGTGACCAGGCAGGCAGAGATGAATGTGAGTGTGTTCATCCCGTACAGTCTGGTTTCCTTTCTTCCTCTTCCCCTTTGCTCACAGATCATAATACAGGGATTATTTTCAAAATTTCATGCTCCTTCCCATATCTGATGTTTGACGCATGCTGTTTCTCCTGGTTGACCACTGGTTCAAGTGTCTTCAACCTTCAAGTGCAAACCTAAATCTCTTCCTCAGGAAAGTCCACATTAATATCCACCTCCCAGAAGACATTAGATGTTCACCTTGTTTGCTTTCACTGGTCCCTTCATTTTTCCTTTTTACCATTACCACCACTGCAAGCAGTGTACCTTTTTCTTACTTACTAGACAAGAACCTCAGATTATATGTACCCTTTCTCTGGGAAAGACAAGACCGAGGTGGATAAGTGAGTGCACACTTCCATGCATCAACTCCTATCCTAGCCTGCCTTTTGTTCTGCCTGATGTGACCCCTGTGGTCACCTGCACGCAGGGGTACAGTGCCTATTTCTCAGGGAATAGGCAGGAAACTTGAGAAATAGGAAAAGGAGCATTTAAATCACTATTCTATAATATAGTTTGTCACCAAAGCTCCCAGTTGCACTCTGACCCAGGCTGAAGGCCCCAACGCCATCCCACAGATGGCAGTTGAAGACAGATTTCGTATAGGCAAAATTTGACAAGATTTGTTCTGCTATTGCTGTTATTATTGTGAGCTTCAATAATCCATAATTCCCTCTATAGTCTCTCCAGTTTTTATTTGTGGGATAGAGCTAGCAATCTGTACCTGTTGCCTCTAGGCCCAGGTGGCCATTGTCTAGTCACTGAAACTTCAGGCCCACTGTCTCTCTGCTATGACAATGACATATGTGGACATCTCAAGACAACCCTATTTCTTTCTGTGCCTGTAGGCTTGGAAGTGATACTTTAAGGCCCCATCTGCATAAAGACGTGACATAGTCATTTCTACTCCCATAAAAATCATTACAGCTTCCTTGAAACCTCCTTCAAGCATAGGAATCTCAGGGACACTCATCTGTGTCCTCAGCCTCATACAGCTAAACACACCATATAGTCATTGCTTCTTTGGGGTTCAGCCATCTCCGTAGGAAGCCTGCAGAAAGGATGTCTGACCACTCCATGATTCATTAAATGAGCAGGAAAGCCTTACTCTGATTCATCATGTAGTCTCCCAACTATTTTCTCTATAATATGCTCTCTGTTTGTTTTTGGGATTCAAAACCAGGAGCAGACCAATATTATTTTTGATTCCTCCTGCTTGTTTTCCCCAAAGCAAGTAGCACAGAATGGCATGTTCAAGAACAGGAAGGGGTGGTGAAGGATATAATCTGAAGGAAACAATTCTATTACCATTTTTAAACATTATCCAACCAAATAGTATATTTTAGGCATCTAAATCCTACTTTTATGATGGAAGCTTTTGGTTTAACTAATTTTGAAAGATGCTCAAGATGCTTTTGTTAGTGAGATTAAATTACTACATGTGGCAGAAGTGAATACAGAAGCTTCTTTAATAAAGTCCTTCCCATAACATCTCTGTCTAGCATTTCCATTCAGAGAGGGAACATAATACATAAAACATCTGTAGGGGAGGAAGAAACATGCCTCTACCCTTCTAGGTTCTTCTGGCCGGTCTAAGAATTAAATTGATGTGAGACAGAATAACAAGAGAAAATCAAGCAACTTTAATAACATGTATACATGGAAGAAACCCAGGAAAACTGAGTGACTCACCAAAACGGCCAAAGCCACCGCCTTAAATACCATCCTCAGCTAAAGACAAAATAGGATGTTGGTGGTAGTGGTTTGGAACTTCAAGGGGGAGGAAGACAATTCACATGAAGATGGAAAAGCAAATGTTTGGTAAACAAATATTTGCCTTGCCTTGCAAAGACAATGAGACAAGGAGAGGACTTTGATCAAATGGGCCTTGCTAGGATCCTCTCCACTACCTCAATAGTTATCTATGGTATTATCTCCTTCTGAAACCAGCCTTCTATCTTAAATTCTTTTAGGCAGTTAGGGGGAAAGACTAAGTTTCTTCCTGAGTATTTGTTCTTAAAAATAATCAAGCCATGGGCCTACCCGATGTCACAGTGGTTAAGTTCAAGTGCTCCACTTCAGCAACCCGGGATTTGCAGGTTCCGATCCCAGGTGCAGACCTACGTACCCCTCATGAAGCCATACTGTGGCAGTGACCCACATACAAAAATAGAGGAAGATGGGCACAGATGGTAGCTCAGCAACAATCATCCTCAAGCAAAAAGAGGAAGACTGGCAACAGATGTTAGCTCAGGGCCAACCTTCCGCACCAAAAATAATAGTAATAATAATAATCCATCCAAAGAACCATATTTTGAGGTAACAAATTCTGGCCCCTTACACATCTATGGGTCAGAGCATAAATACAAACCACTTCATTGACTGTGAAATAATGATACCAATATTGATATTTCTATGTATTGAACATTTAGTGGTCCTGAACTCTAAAACCTGTGATCTCTGTGTACATTACGCCATTAATTCTTTATAATAGCTCATGAGGATGCTGTCGTTAGTCCCATGTCACATAGAAGAAAATTGAAGTTCATAGAGATTAACAATATTCTCCAAGATCACACAGATAGTAAAGTTAGAGCCAGGATTCAAATCCAGCCTTTGAACTCTACAGCTTGAGCATTTAATGGCATATATTGGTTCCAGAGTTAGAGTACAGATGTTATAGTATCTGGAATTTATTTTTAAAAATTTATAATTAGACAGTTTTATATCTTGGGTTGATTTCCATAGCCCAGGCTCTGTAAGCCTTCTAATGAGGAATGAGGTGCCAGGGTGGTCAGAGAGTGTCCTAATCAGGAAGCTGCATGCCAGAGGGAGGTATTTCAAGCAGCTCTTTCACCTACAGCTTTATCAACAAATGACACTTCATGAATTTTATAAATGAATGCTAGAAGAGGTAAGAACTGTAACAAATTTATATTGGATTTATAACATTAGAAATGGGCTTTCATTAGTGAAATCAAAGGTAATTGAGGTAAATGATTTTACAGACACTTCATGCCCTTGCTTAAACAATTATAAAAATCCAGGTACTGGAATGCCTGGGTGAAATCTTGAATGGGTCTGTTTCTGGCTGAGAACTCTAAAGGATTTGGTTGCAGACTACATAGAGAGCAAAATCCCAACTCTAGAATTATGAATTTGAGGGAATTTCTCCAGTACAGTGATAAACAAAGCTTTCAAATAGGTGGAGACTTGGTTCCCTAGACCTGGAGAACAGATGACAGAAACTGTTTTGGTTATTTGGTAAATATACAAGGTAGTAAAAGACTTAGTTAACAAAAAGTCCGTAAGTCCAGCTGATGTTGGTCTGAGATTTGCTTCCATTATAGCCTGGTAGGATTTCCTACCAATAAAGAACACTAAGTGTTATCTTGATGAAGTTGACATAGGGCTGTTTGCAGCAGAGGTAAAGCCAGAATTCCATAACAGACCAATGACAGTTCAATCACCTGAGGTTTTAACATTTGAAGAGTGATGTTAGTAATCCTGGTAGGGGTCCAAGCTGGGAAGGTGTTGGGGATATCTGAAGATGTGCTATTATTCCAGAGAAAATTGTTGGAGTGAAGATCCTCTCCTGTGTCTGTGTCTGTATGTGTATGCGTGTGTGTGTGAGAGAGAGAGACAGGCAGAGAGAGAGAAAGACACTGAGAGTAGGAGAATATTGTGGTTCATTTGCTGTTGAAAATCATTAACCAGGAAAAAAAATATATATATATATATATTTTGCTTCAGAGAAAGAAAGACATCACCATTAAAACTGAGGGATCCAAGAGGATGAAACTATTCCAAGAGCAGAGTCAGCATCCAGAAGCTTCAACAACCAGCACATGCCCAACTGAGAGCTGTCTCCAGATTCCTCAAATGCTACCACCAACCCCATCCAGCAGTTCCTTAACCAAGGTACCAGCTTCCTGTTTCCAATATCTCCACTCCCTGCAATAATGACAGGGTTCAGTAGAACCACGAAGGAGCTTCTCACTAATCCCCCACTATATACAATTATTTCTTTAATTAAATCACACATTTTTTGTTAAATGTATATTTTGAGATGAGATCATACCCTAAATATGAACTCCAACTCTTATTAGCACTGTCTCCTGCATTAGGATAATCTATGACCCAGTGGGTACCTAATCATCCCTAGTCTCCACTGGGTATAATTAGTCCTTTCTTTGTTGATGTTTATTTTTGTATTTCCCTCAATATACAATGAAAGACAAAGCTTAGGGTGGAATAGAGTGGAGAAATACAGAGCCAACCAAAGCACCACCACCAATTCTTTCTCTTTCATATTTTTTGCTGAGGAAGATTCACCGTGAGCTAACATCTGTTGCCAATCTTCCTCTTTTTGCTTGAGGAAGATTCACCCTGAGCTAACATCTGTGCCAATCTTCCTGTATTTGGTATGTGAGCCACCACAGCATGGCCACAAACAATTGGTGTAGTTCCACGCCTGGGAACAGAACCTGGGCCGCTGAAGCAGAGCATGCTGGACTTATCCACTAGGCCAAGGGCTGGCACCTCTCTTTCATTTTTCATTTCATAAATAATATCATCTTATAAAATGTAGGATATTCAGATGCATAAACAAAAATAATTAAATTTTAACTATTTAAATAAGGAAATTTCTCCTCTATCAAATGTTACATTTTGGTAAATAGTCTTTCTGATTTTATTATTTTGTTATTTATATATCTTTATTTATATACATTTGTAATTTATATACAAAGAATATCATTTTTTCCCAGGTTGGATCATATTACACGTGTTTTTCTATAGCTAAGAGCCTCTATCCAGGACATTTCCAAGCTAGAGAAGGTGAGAGGATACTTCCAGTGAGTGTCTTACTATCACCTTCACAACACGGCACTGCTTTTTTGGGAAAGGGGCTTTGTGATATGAGCCTTTAAATTGCCACCTCGACTGGGATCAGTTTCAGATGAAATCAATGGTTTCTGACTGGAGAGAGGCATTTTTCACTCTGTGATACTAAGGATGACTTATTTTCCTCCCCATTTATATCTTACTTTGCTCACTAAAATGAGTTGATGGGATAAATTAAGATTGTTTTTTCATCTGCCTCTCTATTAGGATTCACTACAAAATAGCATCAATATTGCCCCCTGCCCCTATACTCTACATAGCTCTTCCTAGGAGAAATACTTTTTTCTTGGGTTAATTCTTTTTAAAGAAAAATATTCTTCCTTGCAAACTTATACAAAATGAAGAAAAGAAATAACATTGCTATTTAAGTCATCTCCATTTCTTCTCTTAGCTAAGTTATGCCACGTCAGCCGTATTTGTCTAGTTTTCTTGCAAGTTCATCCAATTATGGTGTTCCTTGAGGCTCAACATCAAGCCTGAGAAGGTTCTCACTAGAGTTTCTCTGTATTCCCTTTCTAAATTATTCCTGGTTTTGGTGTGTACTTTTAAGCAGAAACCAAGACTGAAGGCTGTACCTAAAGAAGCTTCCAAAGAGGAGAATTTCCAGAGGGGCCCCAAAGAAGTGATGGTACTGAAAGCCACAGAACCATTTACATATGCCGTCAGCGAAGGGGAGAGAAAGATGTTTCATGCCACAGTGGCTACTGAGAGCGAATTCTTCCAAGTGAAGGTGTTTGATGTCAGCCTGAAGGAGAAGTTCATCCCAAAGAAAGTCATCGCCATATCAGATTATATTGGCCGCAATGGGTTCCTGGAGGTCTACAATGCCTCATCTGTATCTGATGTTAGTGCTGACCGAAAGATGGAGGTCTCAAAGAGACTCATTACAAATGCTAATGCAACTCCTAAAATCATTCATCTGTACTTGCAAGCTCCAGGAACATTTGTGAATGGAGTGTATCAGGTGCATAAGGTAAGCCCACACCATTGTTTTGTAATATTTCTTCTGCATCCCCAGAATTTAAAAGTCTTAATTTGCCATTTGGAGCTTGGTTAATGTGCTAAACACAGAAACTCAGGGCACCCCTGATCGGGGATAGTTAGGTGGAGTCCTCCCATTTCAGCATATGGCAGAGATAATCTCTGAACATTCCTCTTCCCATGGTAACAACTTACAAGTTGTTTGGAAAGAGATTCCCCAGAAACCTTGGCATCTTATCAGCTATGATGATCCATTACAGTCACCCTGCTCCAGGACACTGCAGAGTTTATAGCAACTGACATATCCCTATGATTTTCTTTCTTTGAGTACTGCCTCATCTATTTCAGTGACAGTTTAGCTTACTTGTGAATGCAGAATTGCCCTCTCAAGCTTGGATTCCAGTTGTGACAACCAGACTAAGAAATCAATAGACTACTCTGCCCTAAAATGCAGCTGTTTCCAACAGACAACTAAAATGCCCTCACCTCTTCACATTCATTCATCAAAAACTCGTTGAGCAAGGGGTGCGCCCGGTGGGATAGTGGTTAAGTTCGCACACTCCGCTTCGGCAGCTGGGGATTCTCAGATCAGATATCAGGCGTGGAACTACATACCGCTTAGCAAGCCACACTGTGGTAGGCATCTGACACATAAAGTAGAGGGAGATGGGCGCAGATGTTAGCCCATGGCCAATCTTCCTCAGCAAAAAGAGGAGGCTTGGCAAAAGACGTTAGCTCTGGGCTGATCTTTCTCACCAAAAAAATATACATATATATTTAAAAGAAAACTAGTGGCACAATTGACTTTGGCACTAACTAATAAGAAATATGGATGTTGATAAGAATAGAGCATCATGTAATTTAAATTCAATTTATAAATATGGACAATAAAAACAGAATTTTGCTGAATTCTTAGAATTGGGTAGATATTTCAGTCTAAAACAACAAAACTAAGCTCAGCTGACCTAAATTTTTATGTGAAGTATGTTTCATACTCCCTTATATACGTCTTCTAGGGTGGCTCTTTACTTTTACACCTGTTGTTTTCTGCACACTCTGTTTAAATGACTCTGCACACCTATGCATTTGTAGAATTTATGAATAACGTAAATGAGATAGAAACTAGAATCATGGGACTAGATAATCTAGATTCAAGATTTGGGCGGATTGGAAAAGAATGAATACATACGGAAGATAGCAGAAAGAATTACATATTGATATAGCAATCTACTTAATGAAGACTTGCAACAATCTTACTCATGCTCATAATGAAGCATGAATGGGCTTTCTTCTCTGTTCTCAGGCACCAAAGAAACCTGTAGAGGTTATCAGATCTGATTGTATTCAAGTTCCTTAAGAAATATCAGCTATTCTGAGATGTAAGCAGGAAAATTTAGGAAGTAATCATTTATTTTTAGAAAAGCCAGGCAAATAAAGACCTAAAAGAAGGAAAAGTAGACAATAGATTCAAAAGAGGATATTTTCTGGACGAGATATCTTAAGCTATTTGGTATCTGTAAGTCTGGACTTACAGCTCATATTAACCTGTCAGAGACAAAAGTTTCCACTAACGCCCTGTATTTCTCACAGGTGTGAAAACCTGATCCAGTTCTCAAAATACAGATGCTAATTTTATTTTGCAGAAGAGAGTGTGGAATGAGTTCACATATTATGAAATACAAGATAATACGGGGAAGATGGAAGTCGTGGTGTATGGTCGACTGACCAATATCAACTGTGAGGAAGGAGATAAACTTCAACTCATCTGCTTTGAATTGGCATTAGGTGAGAGTGAGAGGCAGCTGAGATCCGTAATTCACAGTTTCATCAAGGTGAGAACTCCTGGGGAACATTATTCTTCTAAAGTAGAATTTAAAAAATCTAGACTGCTGCTATTATTCAGAGAATCCATCAGGGAAAAAAAGACTCAATCCTTGCCCTCTAGTGAATGTAAACTTTCTTTCCATCATTCTTTTTTTTTAATAAAGAAGTATCTCTTTCATCATGTTGAAGAGAGAAACTTCAGAGAAGCATTCAAAAGATATGATACCTATGCTAAATATTATAGAATTGGTTGAATTTATCAAAACAGATTATATAGTAAATTTTGGCTTCGTTAAGGCAGATTTGTTTCAAATACTGGCTCTCTGATTTGCTAGTTAGCTAATGAACTTAAACACTAGGAATCTCAGGTTCATCATCTATTGAATGGGGGACATATCTTCCTTCTCAGAAGATGGTTAGCAGAGCTCCTACCAGATTACACGATCGAGGATACCCCTGAGCATCTCAGAACACAAAATTACCTGCCTTTAGTGAGATACCTGCCTTTAGTGTTTGTTGCTGTTGGTCAACAGCAAACAGAGGTGGTTGGTTCTACATGACAAAGTCCATACTCCTTGTCACACTCGCACACACCCACCCCCACACACATACACAGACCCGTATGGGATTCTTGGGACACTAACAAAGGCTAGTACTGGAATGCAAAACAGATCAAATATAAAGGCTGACATATCCAGGTATTCAGAAATGCACTTGCTCTTGGATCTTTCCACTTCTCAGGACCATCAATCAAACATTTCAACCCTTCTCTCACAGCATTGCACCAGGAATACATTTGACACCTTCCTCCCACTTTTCTTCTCAGCGAGAAATTTCCCCTCAGCTTTTGACATTGGGTACACCTGCTCCTTCCTCTCCCCTGTTGGTCCCCATGCCTCCAGCCTGTCCACATGTACTCATGCTGGGTGTGAGTGAATATCTCATTTCTGGGTCCCAACCAAGAGGAGGGGGTAGTGACTCAATAAACAGGACGTCATTACAAGAGATAGGTGAGAGTGAGAGAAGAGCCTTTTAGAGAGGAAGAGAGAAAGGGATGCAGCCCGTGGCAAAGAGACACAGTGAGTGAAGGGAGAAATTTATGATCAGGTGCATCTCAACTGGTCTGTCTTTATCTCTTTCTTCTTCAAGGTCATCAAGACCAGGAAAAGCAAGGACACAACCACTCAATCCTGATTCATATATGAAAACCTCACTAGATTTCTCCTTCTTAAAACATGAATGCCATTAATAGTGATGTTAATGGAGATAAGATTTAAGTACAAACATATATATGTATATAGTACATATGTATATGTATGATATACAGCAATATATATACCAAGTATTAATTCTTGGAAATGGAGTGTTACAGGTGTTTTTCATTTTCTTTTTAATTTTTTTCTCTACCATCTCAATGCCATATTTTACATCCGTAATTATTATTACTTGGAAAAAATTATAAACATCATGTGTTTCTCTAAAGGAGTGTTTCCCCGGGAGTCTAATTCATTGGTGAATTGTTTAAAAGCAAATAGTCTGTACCCGCAAATCAGGGTAGGGCACACAGGCCCCAAGGAATGTTATGATTTATACTTTAAGTGTGATATTTACAGGATAAGACTCCAGTCAAGAATGGACATGTTGAACAGGCTATTCTCTGCTCAAAAGAAACCCGCGAGGGGGCAGACGGGGGCTGAAATCCAGTCTGTGCTTCAATTGTCAAGCACCAGGTCCTAGGAGGGGTTGCTTTAGTCCAGAACAATGAATATCTTTTCAGAATTGGTCTCCTGGAGGGGGCATAATTGGATAATTTGTCTGTGAAATAACTCAGCTTCTCCTGATTAGCAGGAAGACACTAGTATATGTTGGAAGCAATTCCAGCCCTGTCTGATGTGAAACAACCGGTTCCACTCACTTACTCAGGTACCAACAGCTCTGTAGCTCTCCAACCACATTTCCTCGTCTCACATTGCACATATGTGGATTCCATCAGGAAGTTGCCCCAGGCAAAGACAGGCACTAGGTAAACACTGAAGAATCATTAATTCACTTTAGAGTACAACGGCAGAAAGTAGACATCTAAAACTGAAATTGACAATATATTTAATGATCGTATATTTGATACCTGGTGTTTTGCAATTATTTTCTGTCACTTAATCTTCATACTAGCTCTGGAGGGTTGATAGTGCTCTCCCTTTTATTCTCCTAATGAGAAAAACCAGGAACAGAGAGGCTAAATCACTTCCCTAATGACTTAGGACAGTTCCATCCTAACAAGAATTTTCTTCATGCTACTTGTCGACTCTTCGCCGAATTCCAAGCTCCTGGCAACCACTGATATAGTTTTTTAACTTACTTTTCACCTTATCCAGACATTCATAAAATGAAATTAAAAATGTATATAGAATTTTGAGTCTGGCTTCTTTCACTTAGTGTAGTGCATTTAAGATTCATCCATGTAGTTGTGTGTACCAGTTTATTCCTTTTTATGGCTGTGTAAAGTATAATTGTGTGGATCCACCAAAGTATGTTTATCCATTCCCCAGCTGAGGAACAATTGGGTTATTTACAGTTTTGCATAATTACATTAAAACTGCTATAAATATTCACATGCAGATTTTTTGTGATCACATGTTATCATTTCAGTGGGCAAAAAACTTTCATTGAGATTCATGGTTCATATGGTAAGTGTATGTTTAAATGTATAAGAAATTGCCAAATTGTTTTTTAAAGTGACTGTAACATTTTTCATTCCCACCAGCAATGTGTGAGAGTTTCAGTTGCTCCACATCCTCCTCAGAGTTTACCATTGTAGGTGTGTGTTAACTTAAAAAAAAAGAAAAAGAAAAAGAAAAAATCTGGGGTGCAGCCCAGTGGCGTAGCAGTTAAGTGCCCGCCCTCCGCTTCGGCAGCCTGGGGTTTGCAGGTTCTGATCCCGGGTGCACACAAATGCACCGCTTGTCAAACCATGCTGTGGCTGTGACCCATAAAACTAGAAGAAAATGGGCACAGATGTTAGCCCAAGGCCAATCTCTTCCTCAGAAAAAAGAGGAGGATTGGCATCGGATGTTAGCTCAGGGCTAATCTTCCTCACAAACAAACAAAAAAATCTGCCAAACTCTTTTGAAAAGTGGGGTACCGTGTGACATTTCTGCCAGCATTTTATGGCAGTTCTAGTACCTCTACATCCTGGTCAGCCCATGGTATGGTCAAACTTTTTAAATTTTAGCCATTCAAATTGGTAGATACTGGTATCTCGTCGTAGGTTTAATTTGCATTTCCCTAAAGATGAATTATGGTGAGCATCTTTGTATGTGCTTATATGACACTCATGTATCTTTTTTTACCTATTTTTAAAATTAGTTGTTTGTTCTCATATTATTGAGTTTTCAGAGTTCTTTGTGAATTCTGAATACAAGAACTTTAGCAGCTATGTGACTAGCAAATATTAGCTCCCAAATTGTGGCTTGCCTTTTCATGCCTTCACAGTATCTTTTGAAGAGAAAGTATCATTTTGATGAAGGTTAAATTATCAAAAAATTTATCCTGTGTAGATTGTGCTCTTTGTGTCGTATCTAAGAAATCTTTGCCTAAATCAATGCCACTGAGATTGTCTCTTGTGTTTTCTTCTAGAAGTTTTATAGTTTTAGGTTTTACATATAAGTCAATGCTCCATTTTGAGTTAATTTTTGTATAGAGAGTGAGGTATCAATCAAGTTCATTGTTTTGTTAATACGAATATCCAATTGTTCCAATACTATTTGTTGAAAAATTATCCTTTATTGAATTTTGTTTGCACTTTTGTAGAAAGTCAATAAATTGCATATATGTGGCTAGTCTTGGACTCTCTATTGTGTTCCATTGAGTCTTGTCGACTCAAATAATCACTAATCAATCTATAAATCAAAATTGGGGTGAGTTTATTACATGAGCCTTTCTCAGGACCATACAGCCTGGGAGAATGCCTTCACCACGAAAGAGGAAGCTCTCTGAAAAAGTGAGGTGTACGGTGTGGTTATGCTGTCTTGGAACAAGGAACATACATCAAATATGACAGGAATATCTCTTGTTACTACAGTCATGAAGATGTTTTGCTAGCAAAGCAGGTCAGTGGTCACAAGATGATCACAGCAGGTCGCAAGATGTACACAGTAGGTCAGTTTGACCCTTAGTTTCTGGGAAAGAATGCTTCCTTGAAAGAAATGCTGAAATCGGGGAGGCATACATCTCCACCTTTAAAGACATCATTCTGTGCTTTATAAATGTTTAAAGCAGACGTACAATTCATGATTGACTGGCCATGTCAGGCCTTTCTGGAAAAACAAGGTCAGGCTGAATTAGTTTTAAATCAATGGCTTTCTCATATAGCTCAGTATATATACTTTTCTTATTGCTTTTCATTAATTCATCAGTTTATATGCCTCTCCTTTCTCCACATCACAAAATTGTCTTATTATTTATATCCCTTTTATAAATATTGTGTATGATTGCCTTAGAGTTTAGAATATACATCTTTAATTAATTAGAATCTGCCTTCAAATATTATCACACTGCTTGACATTTTGTGTAAGGACTTTCCAACACTATAATCCTAATTCCTCCCTCTCATATTTTGTGCTATCATTGTCAAATATTTTACTTTTAGTTGTTCTATAAACATAATATATATCACTAACATTTTTATCAGGCTATGGATTGGCAAACTATGGCCCATGGGGCAAGTCCAGCCCACTGCCTGGTTTTGTACAGTGCACCACCTGTTTTGTACAGCCCACAAGCTAACAATGGTTTTTATGTCATTTTAATGTCTTGGGGAAAAAACCAGAAGACATATAAAAAATATATAAAATTCAAATTTCAGTGTCCATAACACAGTTTTATTGGAACGTGAACATGCACATTCATTTCTGGATTGTCTATGGCTGCTATGCTGTCTATGCTAAGATCAGCATGGGTAACAGAGACCATATGGCCCACACAGTTTATAACATACACTATTGGGTCCTTTACAGAAAAATTTTGCCAACTTCTCTTTTTGAACATCAGTTATCTTCTAGATCATTTAAAATAAGAAAACATAAATGTTATATTACCATCGTGTCTTGTTTGCTTCTTTGTAGACAAATTTCTCTATGGTATTATATTCCTTTTCCTAAAAAAATTCCCTTAACATATATTTTAGTTCAGTTCAATTATGAATAAATTATTTCAGTTTTTCTTGGTTTGAAAATCTTTATTTCTCTTCCTTGATTGAACATTTTTACTGGATTTAGAAATCTGGGCTGACAGTTGTCTTTTTCTTTCAGAAGTTTCAAGTCAATCCATAGTCGTCAGGCTTAAGTAGTTTCTGACAAGAAGTCTGCTGTAATTCTTATGTCTGTACACGTGTATAGGTGTCTTTTTTCTCTCTGGCTGCTTTCAAGAGTCTCCATATGTCTTTTGCCTTTTAGAAGTTTAACTGTGATATATCTAAGTGCGTATGTGGTTGATTATTATTCTTCTGTCATTATTATTGTTTATTCTGCTTGATGGTCTCTGAGATTCTTGGATCTGTGGTGATTTGGTGTCTGTTATTCATTTTCAGAAAGTCTTTGCCTTCATCTCTTTTCAAATATCCCCTATGCCTCATTCTCTCTCTGTTCTCTTTCTGAGATTCCATAACAGATATATATATATATTTTTTAAAGATTTTGTTTATTTATTTTTCCCCCCAAAGCCCCAGTAGATAGTTGTATGTCATAGCTGCACATCCCTCTAGTTGCTGTATGTGGGACACGGCCTCAGCATGGCCAGAGAAGCGGTGCGTCGGTGCGCGCCCGGGATCTGAACCCAGGCTGCCAGCAGCGGAGTGAGCACACTTAACCGCTAAGCCACAGGGCCGGCCCACCATTTACAGATATTTTTAACTGCTTGATATTGTCCCTTATCTCTTAGATACTCTAATCTGTTTTTTTCTTTTCATTATTTCTCGCTGTGTTTCCATTTGAGTAATTTTTATTGACCTATTTATAGTTCATTCTTTTGTGTGCTGTGTAAAGTCTACTGATGATCTGGTTAAAAGCATTCTTGATCTCTGTAACGATATTTTTCATTAGTAGTATTTCCATTTCATTCTTTCTCTTAGTTTTCAATTCTCTACTGAAATTGTGCATCACATAATGTATGGTGTCCATCTATTTTAAATACTCTGAGAGTTCCAACTTCTATATCTTATGTGACTTGGGTTCTTTTGGTTGATTTGTCTCTTAG